AAATCTTAGAAAATTCATAACTTTCTCATACGCAGTCAGATTTGGACGTTCATTTTATGCACGCTCTCAGTTTAAAGTATACTAAAACTTTAATTTAGATCTCTAAGGCTAAAATGTAGTTTATCAAAAATTTACTTTTTACGTTACGCGGTGCTGTGCCGGTTTAGCCGTAAAACTTCGACAGGTCATAACTTCTTCGTTATAACTCGGATTTCAGCGTTCTTTATATGTACGGAACCCTTGTGACATACACTATAACTTGGTTAAGATTATTCCTTCTAAATAATCGCCCATCAAAAAGTCATTTTTGACGCTCATTGTTTCTAAATTGACTAGCCCGAATCTGCGGGCGTTACACGGACCCAAAATATGCAATTGTCTCTAGTTTTTACTCCACCTTATGGATGATTTGGAAAGAGCGGAATGTTAGCATTTTCATATCCGGAAGACGAGTAAGAATTCTTATTGCGGATGATGCTTGTCTTAGAACATTTAATTGGCTTAAGAATAGATCCAAATTATGTAAGATGGATATTGATGTATGTCTCCTATTTCAAACATTTTGTAATTTGACTTGAGCTACTCACTTAATATCTTTTCATTTATGCTAATGTTATTTGTGTGTCATTAAGAAAAGCTAAATGAAGCCACAAATATGTATTCGAGAGAAAAACACATTTGATTCTTTGATTGCCGATAAGAAGGTGAGAGAGGTGGGAGGATGATGTGTTAGATGTTCCATAGAGAAAAGGTAGAGGTTGCATTTTTTAGGTTAGGCGAAGATGATATTCTACATAAATGAATGGAAACTATATGGCTATTTAACATGGAAAAGTATCTTTTTTTTTTTTTTTTTTTTTTTTTTTATGTCTTCTCATAAAAAATAAACAAATAAAATATGTTAGTTTGACATTTCAGTATAATGAAATACATTAAGTTTGGTTGGTTTTTATCTAGCTTTTATTTTTACGTAAACTTAAAATGAGAATTCATCGAATATTCAAACATCTTAGATATGTCAATGCTAACTATCTCATAAAAAAGGTAGTGTTTGTTTTTTGTCTGCAGATCTGCGTGGCCTAATATAAGAAACTGACTCAGTTTTTATATTATAAAAAAATCCCAAAGCATAGTAAGACTAAGCAGGAGAATTGCGCCGCGCAGACCACGCGCAGACATTAGCCATCGCAGACTGTTTGTTTTTTTGAAGACTGCAGACCTAAAAATGTCTGCGCGCCCTCTTCTTGGCGCAGATGTGGACCAGAGTCTTCTAACATCTTCAAACATCTTCTAGCCTAAAAAAACATATATATCTTTATTTTTTTTAAGCTTTTTTTTTAATTTATATTTTTTCCAACTTTATTAATGATAAACAATTTGAAAAAAAAATTACAAAACTTAAAAAAAAACGTTCGACGATACAAACATGATATTTTTGAGAAATTTATAAATAAAAATTTATTACAATAATAATCGTTGAAGTTGTTTATATAAATATGAAAAAAAATCGTAATATATTCTTATATTTTTTTGCCAAATTTTGTAAAACATTATTTAATACAGTATCGTCAATTTCTCGAGAAAATATTTATGGTACATTTTTAATGGATTTAATTGAAAAAATCGAAGTTTATTTCCATCCATTTATGTATCAAATTCTTTGATCACTAATTATAATGTTTAGTTATAACTTTGCAACAAAAGTTGTTGGTTTTTATCAAATATATATGTTAATTCATACCATTTTTTTTTATATTTATAGAATAATACATAAAAGTTGATCTAGATTCATTAATTATTTATAACAAAATCATAAAAATATTAAAAAAATCACTTTGAAGTTTAAAAAAATTCAATTTATTTAGATTTCAGTTTAATTTAGTAGCCCGCAGATGTTAAAAAAACAAACAGTCTTCTTTTTTCAGACTGAAGACGTTTGGTCCACCTCTTCTACTGCAGAGGTCTACCGATGTTGTCCACAGACTACATACATTTTGCCTCAGAAAAAACAAACATCACCTAAGTGGCTGGTTAATATCCCACCTAAAACTAGCTGTTAAATGTATATTAATTGAGTGATATTTCGACATATTCACGTTTACTTAAATACCATTTATAATTATAAGTATTGATAAAAAAATTGCTAAGCATGGTATTGTAGTGTCAAAGTCAGATGGTACACGGTAACATGGGGTGTCGGTTACGATCATTTAAACATGAATCTTACATGCAACGAAGTAGGTTTACACATAATTATGTTACATAAGTTTCTACACTTGGAACCAAAACAAGTAAACTATTTTTTATTTAAAAACGAGATTTATAAAATTTACTTTCAATTAGTATGAAGCTATGAATTATGTCGTGTACATATCACATCAATATATTTAGTATGAAGTAGGTTTACACATAGTTATGTTACATCAGTTTCTACACTTGGAACCAAAACAAGTAAATTATTTTTTATTTAAAATGAGATTTATAAAAATTACTTTCGGTTGGTATGTAGCTATAAATTATTTCATGTACATACCACATCTATTTATTTTGCATCCTTAAATAAAAAAGAGGCAATTAGACGGGGAAGTGATTCGTATAATATTATTTTTTTCGTATATAACAATTTATGTTTCATAAGATCGTATAATATATTATTTTAAACCTAAATAGTTATGCAGAGTAAACTATAATGGACAATCGACTCTCAATTTGATAACATTAACCCTATGATTGTGAATTATGCATCCAAACCGAAACAAAAATATTAACTACAACAACCGAGAGAAAACTAGTTTGGTTATTTTTATTTTAAAAATATATTTTTTTTGCTTGGTTTAGCTTTTGTAATAAAACCGAAAATATAAATGCGCAATTAAAGTAGAAGAATAATAAAATAACAGTTAAAATTCACAAATAATTGTTTCGAGGGTTACTGATATTTTATGTTAAATTATCTCATTAAATACGATATAAAATAATATAATTGATATTGCTAGAATATAGTAAGTGTATTATTGAAAAATATTTGTATTTAAATGTGAATTTTGTGTTTTCATATTCTTTTGTTAAATATAAAACAATCATTTTAAACACGTTGTGAAGTTAAAAAGCTTTAACGCTTTTTCTGCTATTCACATGTTAGTTAACTTGTAAAATACGTGAAATGTAGAGACATGTCATCACATTTACATAATAATAGGGCCCAATCTTGTAATCTATTGTATTCGTATATTTCAAATATTCCCTAAATATCATTTATATAACACTTTATTTGACAATATTTAATAAAAAAACGGGAATAAGTTCATATAATCCACATATTAATTTCTATATACTATCAAATTGATCAAATTTTAACTTAAATAAAGAGTTTTAATGTTTGAAATATTTATTTAAATTTAAAAATTTGCTCAACAATCAAATTTTCTGAGTTTGTAGTTTTTAGGTTTTTAAAAAAATGAACTAAAAAAAGGTTTTGTTCAACGTAAGAATTTAAAGTTTCATCTTAAACATAAATTTTTTAATTCAAAAAATGTATTTTACATATTTTAAAAACTTATTTTTTTTCCAACAGTTATAATTAAAATAAAAGCTACAATTTCCAATTTATAATTATTAGCTACCAATTTTAACTTTCAACTACCAAATAATATTGTCAAACTTACCATAAATGTATTTATAGCTGATCAAATTCAAGATGTTCAGATTAAAATTAGAATTATGAAAACACATGCTCATCAACGAGCTTTTAGTTTTTATGAAAAAATAAAAATAGTTTCAGTTTAGAGTATGAGTTTAAAACTATTATTTTAAACAAATATTTAATGCCAATTTACACATTGTAAAAGTTCATAGTTTTTTTGTCAAACCATTTGAGTTGTGGTGACTTGATAATAGGGATGAGCAGTTTGTACCAAATCCCGCTCTAGTACCGGTACTGTACCAGAACCGGTACCGAACCGTACCAAATTTAAAAATATAGGACGGTACCTGGTACTCCAAATTCACAAAATTCGGGATTCGGTACGACCGGTACCGGTACTAGTACCGAAAACCGGTACCATTCCCGGTACACCTACCGATGATGTTAATTCGGTTCGGTATTTGGGATTGACTTTTAATTAAATTCGATTTTTGGGAAATAATAAAAGGTACGAGTCGGTCCCGGTTCCGTTTCCACGTTCATCCCTACTTGGTAATGTATGTGGAAGATATAGTGTATAAAATACTGACTCATGTTCAAATCTTGACACTACTCAACCCTTGTGGTCATGAAGGTTCGTCTGCAGTGACTCAAGTGCATGAGACAAAAGCCTCATGTTTACAACAGGGGATTGGTCGGTAAACAAAAACTGTCCCGAAACCTTCGTTAGAAAAGTTCTCTTTCCAAAAAAAATATTTCTATACAAATAAAACTACAACTTTAACCTATTTGATTCTAGTTTTTACAACTTCAACTTCAAGTTAATATCTTCCAAGTACCATATCATAAACAAACATACCAGAATCACTTAAAAAACACAACTTATTAAAGTATCAACATGGATCTAATCTTAAACTAAATTTGATTCATAAAACCAATAATTCGTCTTTGATTTCTGGTTTGAAAAGTAAGCTAACATATCAATCAACTATCTCACTGTAACTTGTAAAAATAACCTATAAATTAGTTTTTTGAAAGCTACCCAGACTAACATTTAAAAAATCTTATTGAACTTTTTTTTTTTATATTTCTCCAAAATAAAATCTTTATTAATTTGTCTTTTCTATAAAGCTTTTCATCTAATCTATTAAATTTATAATTCTTACAAAACTTTTAAATTGTAATATAAGTACCCTTATTTCTACATATATGATCAAAATTTAGAATTTATTTGATACATCCAAAAAGATATTTTACATGAAATGAATCCCGTAAATCAAGGCATTAAAAAGTTACCGGACAGTTTTGGAAGATAGAAAAAACACAAACATTTCCCAAACTTACCGACCACAAAACCCTTATAGATCATGGATGTTACGCGGCTTTACGCCAATTTCTAGAGAGAGAAAACGTTAGATTTTAGAGAGAGAAAGAGAAAGACGATGTCGATGAAGGGTTCCAAACGGCCGATCCAGGTGGTCCGGACATGGGTACGTAGGCAACCGCCGAAGGTGAAGGTGTTCCTTGCATTTATCTGCGCCATCGCCGCCCTCGTCTTTATCCGTATGGTGGTTTACGATCACGATAGCCTCTTCATTGCCGCCGAGGCTGTCCATGCTCTCGGAATCTCTGTTCTTATTTATAAACTCGCCACCGAGAAAACTTGCGCCGGTAAAATCATACATTCGCCCAATTTTGCTTCCTCTGCCGTTATAATTTCTCAATTTCCCCTTTTGCATGCATCACTGCTCCAATCGGTTTGTTGACGGCGATCAGTTTATGCAAATTATCATTTTTTTTTCGTTGAATGTGTTATTTTTGGATTCTCATTGAAGGTTTTGTCAAAATTGAACTGAATCAATAGAAATTGTCAAAATTGCATGTCGAAATTTTACTGTATACATGTGATTTCTACTCATTTCTTCCCGAAAGAGCTGCGCTTCGATGTTGTAAAGTTCAAATGGGTTTAATACATACGTCCAGGCGTTTAAATCTCTAACCCAATACTCTCGAAAAACAGATTAAAATGGAATCTAGTCAACTATTTCATCACCTACAATGTTAAACCTGTACGATTTTTTTTCTTTTGACCAAAAGTTTAGAATCCACAAAATTTGTCGCATTGCAAATGACCAGGGCTGATTTCTAACGATCGAAACTCATTTTCTTTCATAGAATTCGAAGATTGTTTTAACCTAATATTTTACTTTCTTTAATTGATTATCTTTGTGGTACGCTTGATTATTTGATTGGTTGAGGATCATGTCGTCTAATTTTTATCAAATTTCAATCAAGAATATCTAATCACTACTCTTAATTGGTGGATTCATTTCAGGTCTTTCACTAAAATCACAAGAACTCACAGCAATTTTCTTAGGTTCTAGACTCTACTGCAGTTTTGTAATGGAATATGATGTGCACACTTTGCTAGATTTGGCTACATTAGCAACCACCATTTGGGTTGTTTATATGATGCGTTTTAACCTAAATGCAAGTTACATGCATGAAAAAGACAACGCCCCAAATTATTATATTGTAAGTTATCACAAATCTCATAACTCTTTTATTCTTTCTTGTTTCCATTTGGAAGTTATAAAGTGTGAGAGTTTCAGTTCCAATGTAGGTGATTCCTTGTAGAATATAACCCTTTTGTAGAATCTTTTGAACACATTGGATTTATAATTAATTAACCAACTTATACCGATTAAATTGTTTGTATTTGATGATTTGAATGTAGGTGATACCTTGTGCTATATTGTCTTTAGTGATTCATCCTACAACACAACATCACATTATAAACAGGATTCTTTGGGCTTTTTGTGTTTATCTTGAAGCTGTTTCAGTGCTTCCACAACTTCGTGTTATGCAGAATACCAAGGTCTGTAATTTAATAAATATTTTTATAAATTATGAATATGGTATGAAAAGTTAAATTATAAGTCTACTTACTTGATTTTATTTGTTTAGATTGTTGAACCATTCACAGCACATTATGTGTTTGCTTTAGGAGTTGCAAGGTTTCTAAGCTGTGCACATTGGATTCTTCAGGTATATTAATTAATGTCTATATTTTTTTATTTTTAAACTTTCCATGACACATAATACAATAATTGGTAAAGAATTCTTCATTGGTAAATACATTATGCACCCAAAAAGAGTTTTCTGTGTGTTTATTTTCTGGAAGATGTGTTTTTTTGCAACTTTTAATAGATGCTTGGTATAATGGAATAAGAGGAAGGAATTGAAAGGTTTATTCTACTCGAGTGAAAAAAGTCTTTTGTTTTTTCTTATGGAATAGAATGAAACATTCTTGAATGAATCAGATTCCTTCCATTTTGTTTCATTCCATCATGGAATAAGTTAAATAATTGAGTAAATTACACGAATGGTCCCTATGGTTTAGGGTAATTTGCACATTTGGTCCTTAACTTATTTTTTTAACTCGAAACGTCCCTACTGTTTGTTTTTGTTACGTGCTTGGTCCCTGTCTTACCTAAAAAGACTATTTTGCCCTTGATTTTTTAATTTATATAAATAAACATACCCCCAACCCCACCCCACCCCCTCACCTTACCTTACCTACCCCACCATTTTTCCCTATTTAAATAATAGTCTTTTTAGGTAAGACAGGGACCAAATGCGTAACAAAAACAAAAAGTAGGGACCTTCCGAGTTAAAAAAAAAAGTTAGGGACCAAGAGTGCAAATTACCCCAAACCATAGGGACCATTCGTGTAATTTACTCTAAAAATTGCAATATAACCCATTCTTATATATATGTAGTCATAATCTTATTTTGGTTTAATGAACTTGTATTATGTTTAATTTGTTATTATTATAAATAAAAAATTCCTTAAGTATACTAAATTATATTTAAATTTAAATAACTTAAAGAGTAGAGATAAAAACTATTCATTGTTTTTGCATATAAAATAAAAAACTCATGAAAATTTATTCCACTGCAACAAGCTTAGCCAATCATTATTGATCATATCCAAACATTCCATTATGGTAGTGTTTGGTAATGATGGAATTAGAAAAGGAATGGAATGGAATGGTTGATTCCATTGAAATAAATAAAAAAATGTTGTTTGTTTTCCAAATAAAATAGAATGAACAGACCATCCATGAAGGAATCAGATTCCTTCATGTACGGTCCTTTCTATTCAATCAAACAAAACAACCAACTTTTTTTTATTCATTTCAACGGAATCAACCATTCCATTCCTTCTCTGATTTCACAATGGAATGGCTGATTCCATTCCATCCAAATTGTAAACAGGTGTTGGATACTAGAGGACGGTTGTTGACAGCTTTAGGATACGGATTATGGCCGTCGATGGTTCTTCTTTCTGAAATTGTCCAAACATTTATACTTGCTGATTTCTGCTATTACTATGTTCAAAGGTTATCCATATTTTCTCCTTTCATTTTTTTTTTAATTTACATTTTGTCACAATTTTGTTATATATATATATATATATATATATATATATATATAAAGATTTGGGTTAATCTCATAAAAGAACTTATATTTTGTGTTTTTTCTGGATTAAACCTCATATTTATTTTTTGCCTGAAAAGAAACTTGTGTTTTTTCTCATTTTTCAGAAAAAGCCCTGAAGTTAAAAAAAAAATTCCGAAAAAAACCCTCAACCTTCTAAATGCTTCCAAATAAACCCTGGACTTTTTTAGTTTTTCTCGAAAAACCCTCACATTTTACAACTGTTTTTGAAAAAAAAATGACTAAAAAGGTCAAATCGGAAAAAATGAAGTTGAGATTTAATCTGGAAAAAACACAAAATATAAGGTCTTTTATGAGATTAACCCATTTTTTATTTACATTTTGTGACAACTTTATTTTATATATTTGGATTAATCTCATAAAAAACCTTATATTTTTTGTTTTTTCCAGATTAGACCAGATTTAATCCGATAAAACCCTCACATTTTAAAACTTTTTTGGAAAAAAAGGGTTAATCTTATAAAAGACCTTATACTGTGTTTTTTCATGATTAAACCTCAAATTTATTTTTTCCCTGAAAAAGACCTTGTATTTTTTTTATTTTATTTTTTTCCCGATATGGTCCGTTTAGTCATTTTTTCCAAAAAAAAATTGTAAAATGTGAGGGTTTTTTCGAGAAAAATTTAAAAAGTTGGGTTATTTGGAAGCATTTAGAAGGTTGAGGGTTTTTTTTCAAAAAATATGAAAAAAAATAAAAAATCCTTTTCAAGCAACAAATAAATTTGAGGTTTAATCATGAAAAACACAAAATATAAGGTCCTTTTTAGATTAATCCAAAAAAAAAAAACACATAATATATTTTTCATCTTCTTTTTCTTTGCAGTGTTATGGGTGGGCAACTTGTGTTACGTCTTCCTTCTGGAGTAGTGTGAGTTGAAAGATGGCAAAGTTGATTTGACTAAAATGCCCTTATAACAGAGATAGTAAGCATTAAGCAACATCTTTTTTTCTTCTTTTTTCTTTTTTACTTTTTTTTTTTTTTTTTGCATGCATCTCCTTTAGGTTACCATAATGATCATTACCCCTATTAACTTATTGTAAAGTTTCTTTTTATTTATTTTAATTTGTAGAGTTTTGGGAGTTATAATTTCTTTGCAAAGTCTTTTAATTGTTTATTTCTTCATATAATTGCATTGTTTTTTTGGAAAGTTTATCCAATCATATTAAACTATTTTCTCTTGCTATAATTAGATTATGTCATAATGAGGAAAAAATTGAAAGTAAAATATAAATCGTGAATAAGAAAAAAGAAGTGAAAATACAAATCAGTAATAAATAGAAATGAAAGTAAGAGGCTATTTCTTGCTTTTAGTTTTTCAGTTTTATTAATATAAAGAAAGAAGAAGAAAATATAGGTGTGTTGCTATAATGATTTGCTAGTTTTGTTTTTCAGTTTTATTAATGTAAAGAAGAAAAAAATATCAGTATGTAAAATTGTGCATATTGGTAACAAAATATAAATGTGTTGCTACGAGTAAAAAAATTAAATGTATGAATTTTTTGATAAAAGAAACTATCTGAAAAGAAATGTAAGTATTTATTTAGATGATTTTTTAAAATATGTTGTGAATTTTGATAAAAAGTAATCTGCATTGTTTATATTGGCAAATGAGTAAATTACGTATTTATTTCTCTTGAAAAAACATTGAAATATGTCTTTGAACTCATGATTTATTTTGTTAAACACAACTGATTTACATCGAAAATGAAGCATGAAAAACTCATCTTTGAAAGTTGATAGAAATAAGTTAACAGTAGTAATAGCATTTGAAATTACAATCTTAGGATTTTAGTATGATAGTTGTTTTGTGCAAAATTCTAAAACAAATCGTGTATGTGGGTTGAATGATTTATTCAAGCAAAATTTATGATAGAATTAATCATTTTTTAAATGGGCGTGTGTTTGGGTTTTGCTTATTTAAAATAATTTATGATTTTTCTTAGTAAAATTAACTATTTATCCGGTGTCAAACGAAGATAAAAAAAAAAAGTGTTTGGTTTAGTTTAGCCGGTGGCAAAATGTAATAAGCTAATGAGTTATTTTTTTTAACACTTAGCAATTGGTGCTTATGTGTGTAATTAGGAAATTACTTATCAAAAACTCTTTAAATAAGGAATAAGTAATTTATCAAAAACTACTTATTCAAGTCACATTGGGATGGAATATAGTTTGTGTTTCTGGCCTGTCGGGATGATGTTTGTCCATTAGGCCGGACGGTATGGGGAGCGGGGAGGACCGCGGGAAGTGTCCCGCATGGAGGAACACCGCACCGGCGGTGCGGGAAGGGAGGCGCGGGAAAGAGGTGGGGGGAGGGGGTGCCGCACTCTCTCTCCTAATTCTATTGGGCAGTTTTTTTTTTTTTTTTATAATAATATTTATAAAATTATATACTACTAAAAAAACATAAAAAATATATCAAAATTCATGGTTTTTAATTCCCTACAAAATGAGTATAATATATGTATGAAATATATTTAAAAAAAAATAAAAAAAAATAGTGAGGGGAGCTTCCAACCCATTACTTGGGTTTTAGGTGAGGGAAAGGAATGTGAGGAAAATGGTGGTGTGGCCCACAAAAAGTGAGGGAAACACCCCTCCCATACCCTCCAGTCTTATTAGTGGTCTAACCATCATCAAATTGTCAAAATCTCCCAATTGGACGGGGTTGCAAATGGCTCACAGTTTCCTAAGACCGGAGGGTATGGGTGGAGAGTTTCCCTCACTTTTTGTGAGCAACACCACCATTTCCCTCACTTTTCTTTCCATCACCTAAAACCTAAGGAATGAGTGGGAAGCTCCCCTCACTATTTTTTTATTTTTTTAATAAAATATATTTCATACATATATTATACTCATTTTGTAGGGAATTAAAAACCATGAACTTTGATATATTCTTTATATTTTTTTACTAGGTATATAATTTTATAAATATTAAAAAAGATAAAAAAAAGAAAAATTGGCCAATAGAATGAAGAGAGAGAGTGCGGCACCCCCTCCCCCCACCTCTTTCCCGCGCCTCCCTTCCCGCACCACCGGCGCGGTGCTCCTCCATGCGGGACACTTCCCGCGGCCCTCCCCGCTCCCCATACCGTCCGGCCTAATAGGTGTCGCTCGATGTCTCGGCATAGTAAACTTTTATAGTATACTACACACATTCTTCACTCTTGTTGATCGTTAGCACTCTTATGAGATGGCAACATGGTATGTCATCTAATTACCAATGCATATATGTATATGTATTTTTTTTGTTTTCTTTTTAAATAAACTGTCATTTATTTTTGAAGTCTTTAACCTGGAATTTATTGTTTGAGAAGACTGTTTGGTTACTACCGACATTTTTATTTTCTTTTACAATGTTTTCGGCCCATAGGGTCAGTGTTGTTACTGCCGCTACGAGCAGTAACCTTTGACACAATTAAGATAAAATATCCTAAAGCATAGTCATTTATATAACATATTAATACCTGTAAAAAATTATGCCTTTCAAAAGTCCAATGCTACATTGTTGCGCGGAAAAAGTAAATTAGCATCAACACTGGCATCCTTCTTTCATATCACGATAATGAATTTATCAACTCTAGGATTTGCAAGCATCCAAAAACAATGAATTAAGTGTCACTCCTTCAATATCTAGATGCTATGTTGGAAAACAAATTAACACCACATATTTCGTTATGGGCACCAAGAAAAATGTTGGTAATGGATGTTGCTATTGATGGATCCCTATCAAAATATGAATGTAAGAACCTCTAAATTGCTTGCAATTGTGCAGTTCTGAAGGAACCATGACCAAGAATTTGTACACTCACTTTTGCATATGCCGTATGCAATCGGTACTATTTGGTTTTGTAAATTCATCACAACTGCAAGTAACATGATACCCTTAAAGTTGCCCTTTAGGTTGGCAACATCTACTACCATGGTCAACCTACAACAATTGATAAAAGAACATACCTACAAAACACTGGAAATTTATTTAAAATTACTTATTCATGTCGGTACATCCAAAATCCAAAAGTAATAATAAAAGTAGTAATACTTACTGAGCAACTAAGTGAGATATATAGGAACTCAAACCAATCATCATCAGTTGTTTAATATGTGTCACCGTGGTGGTATTTTGTTTTACCAAGCTGTAGAAATAAGTGGGAGAGTTTGGTAAATGAATTCTCTTTGGTACCCCTTAACAATATTAGTACATGTTTCGCCCACCCAGCTTGTTGGTATGTGATATTAATTTTGTACTTTGAATTCATATTGTTAGTGTGTCCCATATCGGTGTGACACGGTCCTTTATATATATATATATATATATATATATATATATATGTGTGTGTGTGTGTGTGTGTGTGTGTGTGTGTGTGTCTCCCCTCCCTCCACAATGGTTCTTTTGGAAAGTAATCAAGGATTTACATATATGACATCCTGGAATTTAGGTCTAAAACTGTAGACAGTCAATTCACCGCGAACCTCTTTGTAATTTGACCTATTGAATTTTAGTGCATCTTTTGGGAAAAAAAATAGTGTCATTACAACTATTATAAGATATGAAATGGTAGCTTACTTCAGTTTGTGGAAAATCTCAAACGAATCAAACAGCTCAAATTGCAACCCTAGTTAATACGCATGAAAAACTGAAAATTCATATTAAGCAGCTGTCAGCGAAGCAACCATTTTAGTCTCGTAGAACATGCTCCCGTATTTCCAAAAATATAAAGGAATTTCAAAACGGAGTTTGTATACAAAAGATACGACAATTATAAGGAAAAAAACCAGTATACCACTGATTTTCTTTAAGTTGCTAAAACTGTTTCTATCTGTTGAGGCACTTGCACACCTCATATGGAAATCTCGAGAGCGATTTTGGACTCAGAATATGATCTAATATTTAATTCCATACTCGAAATATTTTTAGTAAAAATATTTACAAAAGTCGAAAAATCGGACGTTTTGGGTCATTTAATCGTAATTCTTTAAACGCAATTTCCCGGAGTTCTACACCTCAAAAAACTAATCCGTTTGGGTTTTTGGAATCCTTGAACTCTACTCTATCATACGACACTTTCGAAAAAAATATTACGTGTCGGGATTTGGGAACACAAACCTAGGTGTGTTTTTAGGACTTTTGGAGAGCATGACATCACCAAGGCCCCACTTAGCCTTCTTTGATGAAAGAAATCATATTTTGGTCCTTGCCTTGTCCACATGACTCCTTACTCCCATACCCATTATCATGGTACAAGTATGGTGATGTTATGTGTTTGACTAGTTTTCAAGGAATGGTGCTAACATGGACATGAGATGCAAGCTAACACTATAAATAGAAGCTCAAAGCTTCCTTCATTCATCACCAAATCAACAACATCCTCACTAGCTCTCTCCAATCTCTCTTTCTCTTGGTAGAAAACCCCACCGGTGGAGGCCATCTTCCACCATAAACTACCACTGCCACCACCCTCATTCCCACTGTTTTTAGCGATCAGCCCCCTGCCCTTCTCCTTTCGTGATACACCCTCCCCATCACCCCAAAGTTGCTGCTACATTCTCTCGTTGATAGACTGCTGTACGAACAAAAACGAGGCAACGAAGCTGGCATTACCAACCGTTGATGTCGCCGCTGGAACAACCATTGCCACTACTTGCTGCCACTGTTAATTCCGAACCACACTACCGAGCCACCTCCTGGTTTGATTTCTTTCGTGTTTTGATCAGTCAAGGATCAAAGAGCATACATTTTTTTGTTTCCTTCCTGTGATCGTAACCAAAAGAGGAGAAGACCTCCTCAATCTTTGATTCCAATTAAATTAAAACAGTCCCCCATTTGTAAATGTTAAAAAAATCAATCCCCTCCTAAACTTTGATTCTTTTAAACCATTTTAACCACTCCCTTTGTTTATTTTAACCAAATCAGTCCCTTTTTCGTTAGTTAATGTGCCAAATAACCCCAATAGTGTAATTTCGTTACAAAATGATCCCAAACGGTTTCTTTCAGTTTCTAACATAATTACCTTTCCATTCTTGATATGTCTAGAGCGATTCCAAGGCTTTTTGGTGCAAGAGTTCACTTGTTGATCGATTTCATTTATTTCCCGACACTTCCTGATTCACATATTAAGGTGAGTGTTACTTCCCCTCTTTTAAGTTTTTATATTCTTTGGGGGAGATACATGTGCTTACATATGTTGGTTTATGCAAATCATACATAAAATGGTACCATTTTATGTGAAAAACACATACAAATCTTACCTAGTTTATACAATTTTATTTTGGCATATAACATGTTATGTACCCATAAATTAGTTCCAACTTGATAAAAACATATGTCATGTTGTTAAAATAAAACAACCAAGTCAAAATGAATATATGATAGTTACTACATATATGCTATGATTTTATGTGGGAAATGTATGTCAGAAAACCTATGTCATGAAAAAGATATCACCTTTGTAGTATTTCCCAAGATCAAAACTTATGTCATGCATATGTGTGTGTGTGTGCGTATATATATATATATATATATATATATATATATATATATATATATATACACACACATTACATATATATACAAGTTATAAATATCAAAACTTGAGAACTTTTACTTGTACTTATGAGAATTACCATTACTTTTGAGTGAGTATCGTACACTTTCATATATTTACTTATCAAACATACTCGACTTATACAAACAAAATTCATTATGCCTAGTGACTTATCCACATATAAGTTAGGGCTGGGAGCTATTCACATACCTTAGTTAAGGGATTTGTAGTAAAAAACTATTCATTAGCGAAGTCTAAACACTTAGAATACCCACACTCCTATAACCGTTAATCCTCGGAGCGAGATACGTTTGTATAGATCTATATGGGGCTCACATTCCCACCTGTGGTTGCTAGCTACAACCCCGACCGATCAATCCAAGCGGCTGATAAGTATCTACTATCATTACTACGACGTACAATGAAATGTTGTAGGGGGTACATTCAATCACATAGCTCGGTTATAGGACTCACTATAAACATTAACTAGAATCTCTCTCTCACTATAAACTTAGGACTTGGTTTCTCAAAACAATTTTTAAGTATGAATTTACTTATGCAAAGATATCTTTTGGTTTTCAAAGTTTATTCAAAGTCTCTTTACAAACATAGTTTTAAGTGTGGTTTTACGTACAAAGAAAATACTTTTTAGACTTTTTAAAAGTATTACTACTATTAGCTAGAAAACCTATAATTTCTCACCAACCTTGTGTTGACCATCAAAACTACATGTATTCTCAGGGAATCAGTAATGAAGCATTACAAACGACGGATTTTTCATGGAGTTCAGGCAATCTAGTTTACTAGCTTTTGTTATGTCTTCCTACCTGTTTGAGGCAATTCATGTACTATACTATTATATGTAAGAACCATGTATTCAAACATCAATACGAAATACAAACGTTCTTTTGTTTATTGTTGTACTTGTGCTATATACTTAGTTTACCTGTAATCCTTGAACTAAGTCGCACAGCTCGACATGTTCCTCCGCCTCTGTCAGGGGTGTGACAGATTGGTATCAGAGCTAAATTGGCTATAGAGAACTCGTATCCTCGAAAGAGGAATAAAACTATATCAATATGCTCCTAATAAAAGTATTATTATTAATTATCCTACTTCTTGACTATTTATGGGAGAGGTAAATGGGTTGAAGGGCCGCTTGGGTTGCTAGATTTTAGAACAACTATATGATAAAATGATCCTGCCCTCGGGTGCTTCCTATCTGGCCCTCATCCGTACTTAGTAGCTTTGGAGTACAAAATAAAAACTAATAATACTACCAACCTCACCAACAATAATATATAAGAGTTATATATATATATATATATATATATATATATATATATATATATATAATCTAACACGCGATGAGATGTGCGCCTATGTTATTTATGTTTGGGCCAGTGCACAACCAACCTTGAGCATGGAGTTTAACAGACTTCAATGGTTAAGAGTTTTGGAGATTAAAGAATGTTCTTAAGATTTGTTGCAGATACTTAGTGTTGGGATACCTGTTTCGAGCTTAATGTCGTTTAGGGTTGTTTCGCCTAATTTAAGCCGAAGAATCATAGTAAAGGAAGAACCAACATCAGTCGTCGTCCGGGAGGTGATCCTAGGACGAGGTTTTGATGGTCAAGTCAGTAATTCGATGAGAGAATTAGGGTTTAGCTTGAGATAGAGAAAGAGACGATCCCCTCTTTTTGTCTTGTCTGGGCCGCCAGGCTGTGGAGGTGTCGTATTGGAGGATCGTGCACCACTAGTGGTTGCCTGCTATTGGTGCAAAATCACCAAAGAGTAGCCCTCTGAGCGCTACACTTGTCGCTCTGGGGAGTGGTTGCTACTGTTTTGGCTTGTTGTGGACTGGAGCCTCTTGTTCTGAATTGGTCCTTGGTACTAGAGCGCCGAGGTCTAAGTGCGAGGCCGAGAGGGAGAGGGTCCGGATTTAGCACTTACGCTGGGTAGCAACCATCGACTAGGTCATCCTTTAGATAACCCTCCCGCTATATTTGACGTATTCATAGAGGGATACGTTAACAAGTCCTCTAGGCTAGTAAACGTGACTGTTAGCTTGGGGTAGCTGAGTTGTTCTAGCTTAGACCAAGACACGTGTTCAGCTGGGATGACTCTAACGTTCGTTGATGTGACAGAGCCGTCTGTGTAGACGATTTCATCATTGTAACTGTTCGAATTTCCCGCCTTGCATTTAAGACCTCCTTTATCACGGACGATTTCCTATTCTTTGCTCTACTGCTTCTTTATGTGTTCTTGTCTTCACTTTGTTTATTCCCTCTTTTGACTCGTTCTTGTTTATCGACATCCATGGCGACAGTTGCTACTATAATTGAACCGACGCCTCATAAGTTTGAAGGCACGTAGGCTCAATTTGGTTTTCTTCCTAAGCATGGTGTGCAATATCCTCAAAAGGGGGCAGTCATTTCTCGGTCGTCGGAAGACAAGGTCGGAGTCCCATTTCCAATCTTTGAGGCGGGTCTTCGGCTGCCAACGTGTGACTTTTTTGATGAGATCATGCGCCAATATGGTTTCTCTGTTGACAATTTGACTCCTAATGCCATCAACGAAATAGTTGGTTTTGAGATTGCTTGTCGAGCTTTGGGCGTGCTTCCTCAATTTTGGGCTTTCAAGTACTACTTTAACTCCTCTACCCAGTCCGACGTGCATACGTTCTCTCAGCGGTGGGGCGTCCATGTGCTCATCATAAACCATACAATCCCCTAAGAAGAACTGGAAGGATAAATGGCTATGGGTGAACCGCAACTTGGTCGGTTTTGGCTATCCTCGCCGAACCACTTTCTCCGACCGGACACCTCAGATATGAGGTGCTAGCGAGATCGTGGTAAAAGCTTTGAAAAACATTTCTTTCAATGGGGAGGATTGGGAGGATTATATGCTACTACGGTTGGGATGAGCGCTGCCTGGAGAGCACGTGGGATGATGGATCAGTTTTTCGTGGAGAAGGATGGTGAGTGTGCATCTCACCCCTACCCCCCTTTTGTACATAATTCTCGACGGGGTGAAGTCGGAGCTTTTCCGATCCCCTTATGTATAAGATTTGTTTTTTGTTGCAGGTCGAGAGAGGATCATTCCTTTCGAGATGGTCCTTCGAGGTAGCTTCCAGGGCAGTTTCCAGCACCGGGAAGTGCCTTTGGCGGAGGCGCTTCCTCCACCGGTCAACGCTGATCATGCCCTGACACCTGCTTGTCCTACCGCTGTTGTGGCTTAGGGATCCGATCCTCAAGTTGACTAGACATTGGTCGATGCCGCTGTAGAGAGGGTTTCTCGCGACGATCCTCCGCCTCTTGATATCGAGGAAGAGCCGGAAAATGAGGTGGCAGTTGGAGGAATTCGACCGACTACCAAGCGGCGAATAGCCTGGTTGGACTCCCCATTTACTGAAGGTTCCAACGTTAGCATTATTGGCAAGCGTCTTCATATGATATGTAACGACGACTTCCTGTTGGAGGAGTCCGATGTTGTAGTTGACATTCCCGATGATGACGGTTCGAACCTGTCGGAGGGAATAAGTAAGGAGGCGACTGAACTGCCTCGTGAACCAAAGGAAGAGCCATCAGATTCAACAGATATTTCCTTTGCTAGGGCCGAGTGGGACAAGCTAAGGATGAAAGTGTTGGGGTTAGAAGAGGATAAGCGCAAATTCAAGGAGCGTTATGACCTCTTGGCCGGGGAGAAGGCGTTCATGGAGGAGTAGGTGGCAGAGTTGGATGGGTCGTGCTTTTCCCAGCGGATTGAAACCTTGGTGGAGGAGAAGAAGGTATTGTAGAGCCGAGTGGAGGAATAACATGGGTAGATGGAGGTGGAGGTTGTGAGGAGGAAGGTTGTGGAGGAGGATGTGGCATGGTTCCATCAAAAGGGTGTTGTCCGGGTAGTGAAGAGTGCTGAGTTCTCCTTTGGTGTTAGGCTTATGAAGGCGGCGTGTATGGCCACTGGCGTGGAGTGGGAAAATCAAGTAGTCCATGAGAATGTTTCCACCGGGAAGTTTGTCTCCGAGGAACCGAGCGCCGTTGTGGATCACACGCAAGGGATGCATGTTGATGTAAAATCTTTTATGGAGACATACTTTGCCTCCTGTCTTCTCATCGGTGAGCCGGACATGGAAGGCCTTTGCCAATTGTGTCACGATCCCGATGCTGAAGGGAACAATCCCGAAGGTGTCTCCTCTGAGACCGGGCCCTCCTCTAACCCTTATGGTAAGTGATCTTTTTCCTCCTCTTTGGTTATTGGGTGTGTGAGACAATATTTGAATTTGTTTAATGTGCGTGGAACGATGCCTATAAACAATTTTTGAATTTCTTGCATGGCCCTGCATGACCTTTTTGTTTGTGCCCGGGGTTTAGCTAGTGGACTATATGTTTTTATTGATTGTGCTTATGTTATGGCTGTTGTTGTCTTAAAGCTTATTCGCTTCTGATCCTAGGTGGGTTATGTGGTCCGTTAAGGGTTCGAATTCTTCTCAAAGGTTAGTGTTGGCCTTTGAGATAGTGTTTACTGTTGTTCATCTCCAAAGGTTTGTGCTAGATTTGAGAATTGATTGAGAGCATCTCTTTCTTCCTTGGTAGGGCATTGGTATTCGAAGGATTCTTTCTTTTGGTGAGTGAGAGTTTGTTTGTATTTAGCCAAAGTTCTTTGGCTTTGTCCCGGGAGCTTGGGGTTTGACTGAGAACAACTCTTACTTGCTATGTAAGGAGTTAGGTCCTTTTGTTTGATGAGTGGATGTTCGTTTGGGTTGGTAATTCAGCCATGTTACTGGATTTGCCCAACTTGTGAGCCTAGGACTCATGTTTGCTTAAGGTACTTTGGGCTTATCCCGGAAGCTCGTGCTGGGAGCTCGGAATTGGTCCCTTCTTTGGTCACATGCCATTTTTTCTGGAACATGGCTTTTTGTATTAGTTTTCTTTATTAAGGTGCCCTTTTTAGCTAAGGTTTACTGATTACCCTTTTGGGACTTTGTTCTAAGTCCTAGGCTTGGCAAAGTTGTACTTCAGCTCTAGCAGCCTAAGTCGAGTCGAGATCGTCATCTCAAGGCATTTAGAATTTAGGTATTGTTTGTTTCAATAGAAAGGTTATGAGCCTTTGAAACCTTTATTCATGTAAAGATCAAGATTTGTGGCCTTTTAGATTGAACTGACATGTTTAGGGAAAGGTTATGAAACTTTGACACCTATGGTTGCATCCTCACAACAGTTTTGCTCAAATGATGTGGATGATCAGTCCTTGTTACCATTTGGTAAATATGTACAACCTCTTATGTAAGTGTTATCAAGCATGATTAGTAAAAAACATTCTAATAGTTTTTTGATAGTCAACTTCCTTCACTTAATTGATAATGTTTTAGAAACAACTACATTGTTTGGTGAGTAAAGAAAAAGAGATGACTACATCATGGCATAAGTTAAGTCCTAGCTCTTGGGCTGACTTGCTGGAGTGTGATTATCCACTCGGAGTTTGATCACATTCCCCTTGCCTTGGATGTGCCTTATTTGGACCTTTTTCCTTGCTCTAGGGGTGGTGGTGCGAACTGCATGCACTCCAGGTCCAGGGGATGACTCCTCCGTCTTGAACTATTGGGACGCCAACTCCATCTAGGTGCACTTTTGTGGTCCTGCTCGTATGTTCCTTAGTAGCGTTTAGTTGGCTCTGGGGTCGTGCATGGCTAGACCCATTACTTTCTAATGCCCAATCTTTTTCCTTAGAGCTTTCCACTCGCATACACCAATTGTGGTGTTGTTGGTGTTTCCCTTATGGGCATCCTGGCTGAGTCTAACGGTCTCGTGTTTCCCATTGAGTATGTTCACATTTGGACGTTGCTTCGCTTTGTTGGTGGTTACACGAATGTTTGGCGCTTGCAACAACATGTTTGCAATCCCAAGTGGTGATATCGCTTTTGTCCCTTGTATTAGGTTGAAGGGTATTCCTTCGATGTCTGGACTTGGGGCCTGGTGATGGAGCTGAGACATTGTTGGTGGTACTCCGACCTAGACTTTTCTCGATCCTGATGGGTGCTTACCTCTTGCCCACCTAATGAAATGGACGGGGGTGATCAGAGGGAACCTGAATCCTTCTGGGGTGATGGGGGGGGGGACCCTATGGTGTTGATACCCCATTGTCTGGATGACCGACAGTTATTGATCAGAGTTATGGCGTGTTGGCTTTGAAAAGGAATGAACACCTAGCTTTCTGGGGTTTCCTCAGTAGCAATTTCCGGGGTTTTGATCTTGTCTTCGCGTACGATGGGCCAACGTGCTCCCAAGTAAGACATCCTTCCGGAAATGGCTCTCAGGCCTCCTCGTTTCAAGTTGCTTGCTTGATTTTTTTCTACAGGTAAGTATCTTTCTTTTCCCGGATGCACCTTCTCTATTGCGAGTCACGCGATTTTGACGCTGACTCTCTTGTCATCTGGGGGATCGCTTGGAAAGGTCCCGCGTGAGAAGTAATATGGAGAATGTTTTAGTCGATTGGAGATTTCCATGGTATTGGTGATCTGTTCTGCATTGATGTCTCTTACCATGAAGAGTTTCAATCGGTAACTTCTTGATTTGATGATCAAAGGGTACTAAGGGAAGCCACTTCGGATCGTTGGTATCTGCGACTTTCTCTTGGGGAGTCTGCTCGAATTTGGGATCCTCGCTGGATCGGGTCAATTCTTGCTCTGCATTTTGGTATCTTTTGCCCTTCTGTTCTCTAGCCCCGTGGGTAGTGTCTGCTGTGACATCCCCAATTTCACGGCCAGAAAGGACCGATTTGTTTATGCTTTATTTGAAAATCAGAGTAACCTTTTAAAGAAAAATGTTGCGGAATTTGTTCCCAAAAGAAAATACGATAAAGATTTTATCAAAGCATTTCCGAAGAAATGTGTTTCATTATATTAAAACCTCAGGATGTCATTGTCAATACAGATCAAAAGAATAAACAGAATAACATAGGCCTTACAACATTTATTTATATGTACTGGCCTATAATACAAGATTCATCAAGTCCTTGAACTATGCTCTTGTGCCACTACCTGTAATACAAGAAATTGAGTGGGTCATGCTTGGGAGCCTGGTGAGCACATAGGGTTTTCAACCTACAATAAATAGTTTATTAATTTCATCAAATCAATCAACCTGATTACCCGTTGTCGTTATCCTCACCTTACGTCCCTAAAACATTTATCATAAAGGACCTATCCTAAGGATTTTCATTAGGATGGACACTATTGCAAAGGGGTTCCTCAACAATAATTGTCGGTAAGGAAACGATGAGGGGGATGGAGTACACCGGTGAACACATTGTTCACAAACATCAACAGGTTGCGAGCCTGCTAGCGTTCCACTAGAATGTCTAGAATAGTCTGTGGTCGTCATCTATACTCCGCTAGATGACTGGATCATCGTCAACATCGATGACTCTCATCATTTTATCACACATCGTCTATTTTGTATACCCATGTTTTACCCCGACATTTTTGTAGATATAAAATACATATACAGTTTAAATCACTTAAAACTTGTATAAAAATGTTCATCCAACATAGATATCAACTAAACAAATAATATGCACACATAGAACGTAATTTATATAAAATACTTCATATATATGTGTAAGATGAAAGTAACTATGCACTCACCTGTTAATGTGGTGATTCTGAACTCAGACAGCGCTTCGCTTCTTAAAAATAATATCCTTCGACGAAACCTAGTATTATAACCAATAGATTTTAGTCTAATATCTACCGTGACTAATTAATAGTCTTAGTATTATTATTATTATATAAGCGTTAAACAATACTTCTCAACTAATATGTATAGACAGGGGCCAGACATGAAACACCGGAGGGCAGGACCATTTTAGCATTTAAGCTGTTCTGAAATCCAACAACCCAAGAGGCCCTTCAAATCGGATTCCCCGTACCGCGAGTAGTTAAAAGGATATTATAACGACACTTATATAAGTCATAATAATAGCCAAAATATTTATTATAAGTCGATAATAACAATACTTAAATTATATATAAGCTATACTTAAAGTAGGGTAAGCGTATCTCACTTACAATGAGTTTTGCTAAAACCGGGCTCTACTGAAGCAGAGCTTCTTAGCCGAAAAGCTATTTTTCTCGGAGCCTTCGGGCGCTCCGGGGCTTTCTTCTAGCATTAGGCAAGTTTCCTAGGCTTGGGGGATGTTTGGGTAGGCTAGAGAGAGAGAGAGAGTAGAGAGAGAAAGAGATGGCTAATGGTGTGAGAAAAACGATTGGCCTCGCATCTCCATTTATTGATGGGATAAAATCCTTTATGATCGATTAGATTCTAAAACAGAAAGCAAAGATGAACAAGACAATGATTCAAAATAAGCTTAATGATTAAAGCTTCACAGCCTCAGAAGAGCTCGATGAAGAACTGCTACTGTAGAGGTGTGATTAGGGTTTACAATATTGCCAAAGATAAAAACATTAAGCACCTACGGTGCATGCATGCACTATAAATACATAAACCCTAATAAATGAGACGGATGGACAGGCCCATACCGTGTACAAAATAGGCTAACTAAATAGGTCCAATGACGCAACACTTGTATACCCAACAATCTTCCCCTTTGCGTCAATTGAGGCGGGAGGATCTTCACTTTGGAGTCTTCTTTGTTGTCTTGAAGATCTTGGGCATCACAGCAAGAAGTGTGTTGCGAAAGGCAATGTACTAACGAATCATGTCATGGAAATTCTTCTTTAAAGCTGCATCATTCGCTGGACATTCCTCGATTATCTCCAGTATGTAATTTAGGCATGAGGTGGAGAAGAGATGCTTCTCTTGCAAAGCGAACAAGCATTTAGCGAAGTCACCACGCTCCACTGAACCGCGATGAAACATTACGGTCCAGTGATTTGTATCGATCGTCCCCTTCTGCATTCGGTTCAGATCACTGGCTGAGCCTTGGGGAAGAGCAGTTGGCTTTTTCTTTTGAGTCGTGGCAACCTCCATTTCAAGCTTCGCTACTTCGTTGACATATGATACTGGCATTCTCTTAACATGCTCCAACACCGGCTCATACTTCTTTTCATGCTTGAGCAAGAAGTGAAACAAAACGATCCAGTCATATGGGTTAAGATATGGGAGATCAGCTAGGGTAAACTCATGAATCATACTTTACGAACCCCTTGCTGTTTTAAATTTGACGTTTGCGAAGCTCCCAGCCTCAATTGGCCCAACGACTTTCACAAATGTGATCTTCTGTCCACTCTAAGTCTCATATTGAGGCTTCTCATACTTAACATAGAACTCCATCAAAGTTTTATTAACTTTCGGAATGGCTGAAGTTGTGTTTACTGTTGGCTCAAAGCAGCGGAAGAGAAAGGCTTTTGCGGTCATGGGCATATCGAATTGTGAATCCACAGTATTCTCTAACTTGAACGAGGCGACAGGCTTGAGCCAGTGAATGCTTGGACATTCAATCGCCTTAGTGGTGATTCGCTCTATGGTCCGTTCTGGAAA